CACACACACACAAACGCACACACACACACACACACACACAAATGCACACACCCACTTGCACACACCCACACATACACAGACACACACACTCATACCGATGGTCACAATTAACGGAAGGAACTTCAGCGCGTGTTAATTTGGACCACGGCCATCCGGCGCGTCCAAGGTCACCCATGATTTGATTAGTGATAGGAACATGACCAACATCTGTTCCCGAAGGAGCGGTAGCGGTAGCGGGTAGACACTCGTTCCGAAAGTCAACTGTGCAGAATCGGGACTGAAATCGTCACCACCACCACCATCACCCATTAACAAAAGCACACGGCAATGGATTTGCAAACAAAAAGCAACAGCAATAAAAAGCCGCAGCCAAACAACAACAACAGCAACAACAACTACAAAAACAATAAACATGTGTGTTCGTCCAAACCCAAATAAAGGGACTCTGAGATACATGTAGTGCGGAGTCGGAAAAATTATCAGCGAAGTTAAAATAACGTCGCTCGACCTTCCTCCACACTATAAAATAATTATACGACATGCTTTTTTCGACAAAAATCTGGAGCTTGGCAATGGGCATCCCCACTCGAGTCAACTGCACGTATAATCGTTATATATCATGAGCTTTTGAGCATCCTGTGTGAACCATGTCTGCAAATATGGTCACCTCTGCCCAACCATCCCCACCCCAAGGGCCTTACAAATAGCCTCCATGCCACCCTCCCCCCAACCCCTTACCCTACACACGTACCCCACGACCCTTCTTTTGTCCACCGCTGTCCAGCATCATCTGTCGCTACTTTTAATCAAGTGACTTCTCACTTCTCAGCTTGTGACCTCGAAAACCAAATCTGTCTATTTCTCTCTTTCTCTCTCTCTCTCTCTCTCTCTCTCTCTCTCTCTCTCTCTCTCTCCTTTTCTCGCACAACACACACAGACACATACACACACACACACATACACACAACACATATGCACAATGACAAATACACACCCACAAGAGGACGCTTTAATTCTTTTTCCATTTCTCCCCACTCTCGTTTCTTCATTAAATTTCAAACACAGCGAGCGGGGGCGTGGGAGGTGCGCAGGAATGCGATGCCCGTGCAAAAATGTGCTGTGTGCGAGAGTGCGGGCTTTCAATATTCTGGCGCGAATCAGCCATGCGCGCAGTGGTAAACTTACAAAACAATTGTGATATTGTATGGGCCAGGCCTGCCCCATGCCTGCTTGTCATAGACCTATTCTGAAAAGGATTAGGTTTTAAACTCTGCTTCAAGGACTCAAGAGACAAATACACAAATACGAATCAACCTAAGAAATATGAAATATGTCGGCTACATATTATTACGCCTAAATGCAGGACTTAACACTGGCAACCCCCCCCCCCCCCCCTCAAAAAAAAAGCTTCTATCACCATTCACTTTTTCCCTAGGCTGTCCTTGAATGGGACAGGGATTAAATTTTTTTTAATCTAAAGGGTTGGTAACAGATAAACATTTGTAATTTATACTGGTCGGATTAGATCCGTTTGCTTTATGACTACAAGTTTTAAAAAATCATAGTTCAAAAGGGCCAGTATTATCACTGTATGCTCCAACAGCACTTTTACTGTTACATAAATTAAAAAGCACCACTCAATCTATCTCTTTGAAAATAATTTCTCTATTATACTTTTTACCTAACTCAAAAGAATATATTCATTTCCCAGAGGGACAATGCAATTTTATTTTACAATATTTACTCTTACATAAAGTATTTCATAGCCTACCAAAATCACAGATATAAAACAAGAGTTCAAAATTGTACGTAAAACGAACCATGCTTTCAATTATTTTCAAAATAATATTTGTCTCAGGCAAAGAGAGAGTAAAGGAAAATGAAAGGACAATGCTTCAAATTTGGAATGTCCAAACTCAAGAAAAATAAATAGTAGTAGGTTCACACTGTTGATTAAAAAACAAAAAAGAAATCACCTTGCCCTGTCAATTATTGTCAGCTATTGTGTGATTAGTAGTTTTAATCTATTCCAACATTAAATAAAAAAGCTAATATAATAAGTTCCATGGCTTTTTTGGTTTATGGGGTTTATTGGGTTGTTTTTTTAAAGTACAATACAGCTGCATTATTTAATTGCTAGAAAAGTTTTTTAAAATTTGACTACCTCTATGCAAGAAAATAAAATAAAACATCATTAGGGGCCTACCTTCTTGCCTTCCCACTCCCCTTCAAATGAAATATTTCTAAAATTGAGAAAGATTATTAAAGTTGAAGTGAAAATGTCAGCCAAAGATCAGGGCAGGTGTTATATAATAAAAATCCAGCCGAGACACACTTCATTTAAATCTTAAGAAAATCAACTGCATGGTCTGTAAAACAATTGTTCTATAATGTAATATATCACATGTATCTACTTTACCCCCCCCCCCCCCCCACACACACACACACATTTTCCATTATATCACTTCTACAGCATAGGAAGCACTGCTGCAGGGGCCCTGTTTAATTTATTATGATACAGGCAGTGCATAATTTGTATTTGTATTTGTGTGGCCTTAAATATACAAAATAGGTGTGTGTGTGTGTGTGTGTGTGTGTGTGTGTGTGTGTGTGTGTGTGTGTGTGTGTGTGTGTGTGTGTGTGTGTAAGTGTGTACTCTTAATGTGATTCTGTGTGTGTTATTGGGGGGGGGGGGGGGGGGCACATTAAATACTATACTTTATGATTGAAATGCCTCAAAATGTACAACAGTGTAAGGAAGTCCAGTTTAATTTTCCTGAAATTACGGTATTACAACAGATCCACCACATGATTGCGAGTCTTGAAATTATTGCGCTCCATAAAATTCATTTTAGATGAAAAGAATAAGGTTAAAACAAGGCAGGTTAAAGTTTAAAAAAGAAAAATCATATTTTCATATAATTATTAATTATTAAAAAATTGATACGAATCATCATATTATGAAAACCAGATTCCTTGTCAAGCTTTTCAAATAGCAAAAAGAAAATGTTGTTCTCACTTGAGTCCCTAGATCAGTCAGGTAAGTTTTACAATGTATTAATATTAATAATTTAATTCCAACAACATTCCATTGTTTTTCATTAAAATTCAACCTGAACAGAACTTCATCAAAATTATGTCAGGTTCCCAAATAGAGCATGGTAAAATAATAATAATAATAATAATAATTTAATAATAAAGAAACAAAAAAAAAACGTTTTAAATTCATTTCAAATGTATACCGATTAGTCATTGTAATGGTCATTGCGGAGAAGGGGCGCGGCGGGTGGGCGTGGTAAAAAATATACGGGAAAACCATGACGGAACGAGGGCATAGAAGAATAAAATACAGAGAGTAATGGTTTAATTTCTGACAAATAAGTACAAACAGGATAAAACTGCAACGAAGGGTACAGATGAATTTCACCAACACATTTTCTCTCAATCTCAACCTGTGCTCCCAGCCGCAACGGTGGTCGGCCCAGGTAAGGCACGATAGGTGCGTCGAGCACACAGTGAGAGGGAAAGAGAGAGAGTATGAAGAGAGAGAGAGAGAGAGGTGTGGCTCAACGGTCGGGTAGTTTTTAAAGTTTCTGCTTCTAAAACGGTTCTACTAAGGGAACTATGGAACAGATAATTAAAACATGTATCTTACCTTTGCGATTTTAACTGGTTCATTAAACTCCCTGCCACCTTGAAGTCTAAATCCCCAGGGGGAACCCCCTGTCAGAACTACAGTGAACGTGGTCATGTTTTGATCGAAACCGCCATGAAGCTACTAGCAGCCAACTGGAGGTTTACCACAAATCGAAAGGATTTGGAGGGCAGCCTCGTTTTCAACAAAAACAACTGTTGTGGTCAGGAACCTCCAGGAAACACCCCTCTATTTAATAGCAAAGAAAGAACAAATTCTCAACAAAACATTATTTTTTATACAAATATATTATGTTTTATTCATTTGATAAACTTTTGTTCAACATGTTTGTCATGAAATAAATCCACGGCAGTGCCAAATAATTGGGTAAAAAGTTCCTTTCGATTTTGAACTCTCATGGCACGAATATAAAATGCGTCGGGTCACGTTTGTATTTTCAATACGCACAAGTCTTTCTTTGAAGAAGTATCAGACAAAACACCAATCTACTCTCTTTATTTACCCTCGAGAACGTTTCAGCTCTCGAAATCTCTCAGAATTTGACATGATTACCTCTTTGTGAAGAGCTTTCGAGCACAAATTATGCGAATTCCAATTAGAACGTTTCCTCATACTCGTGGTTTTTCTTCCGGTGTCAAGTTAGCAACCCTGTGTAAACTATCAAGCAGTCTTCCGCAATTGACCCGGGTGGAGATGGACACAGACACTGACTGACCAAAAGCTGTGTATGCGTGTGTGGTGTTTGTATCTGAACTGCAAACATGGGTATGGCTGACATTTAGCTTTCTGTTAAATGTTTATCCCCCGTGATAACCGTGACTACTCCAACCAAACGTAATCGATAGCTTTTCCAATTCTCATGCCTGTCTCGGTCAGTCTCAGGCTTAGTTTGGCTAGATCTAAATAGAGGCCAGTCAGACTAGTGACTAGTCAGAGTGAGTCAGTAACCGCGGCGATTCGCCGTTGTTGTGCTCACCCCGAAACGCTGTCGGTGGTGCAGAACCTATAGAGATCTATTGTATTACGCAAAATTTATATGTGTAATAGATTGTTAATTTCTAAGGTTTTGAAACGCTGTCTCTTTTTTTATTTAGACTCTAGACGTCTAGTGACTGGTTTAATTTTTTTTTCCTTTTCTGCCCATATAATTTGGGCGATATGACTTAGATTTGGAAATGGGAATTAATTTTTATTTCGTTTTTAATACCTTCCCCCAAACTTCAAGGCTTGGTTTATAATTTTTAAAATAAAATTTTGATGGATTATGATGGTCTGTGGCGGTAGGTGTCCTGCATTTTATGAAAATGAATTAGTTACAAAAGACATGATAAAAGCTAAGCGCAGAGCTGAATGTTTTACTTTATTTTTCCTTTCCTTTTGAATGAAAATTAATATTTTGATGCTGTTGGGAAAGAGCTGAGCAATCAGACTGGCTTCTTCTTGGCATAAGAGGGTAATTTCACATACATCGAGAGATTTCTTTACAGAATTAATCGTCATGATGAATTTTATTTTAATTTATGAATTGTTTTCTAGGAGCACACACTAACTTCGACTAAAATTTTGTTTTGTTTCTTTCTTAGGTCAGAAAAATTTCTTGGTCTATGAATTTCAAAATGTTTTTGTATCCTATTTTGTTTCTTTATCTTATTTAAACTGAACACAAGACAAGTAAGGTGCTTATAAAAATTTATTTCTTCCTCTCTCACGGTTTCGAACATATATTTTTAAAGATTGCTTTTTGTCTGCTCAAGTAGAGAGTACTTAGAAATATAAATATGCCGTAGAGATAGAGATGAGGGTGTAAACATAAAGTATGTATTCTTTGATTGTTGTTTGTATGAAAATTGGGAACTCAAGTACGTAATGCTCACTATTACAATCAACTTTTATGTTGAGATGAATTTATGTGTGTAATTAAAAGATGACTGGCTCTATTTCTCCGAATGTTCGGTTACCGTTTTCAAGTTTTGTTGATAATAAGCGAATGGAGTGGCCCGTGTGTGGGTGTGTGTGTGTGTGTGTGTGTGTGTGTGTGTGTGTGCATGTGTGTGTGTGTCAGTGTGTGTGAACGGGGAGGGGGGGGGATTTTTTTTACGTGAAGGATTTTAGTTTTTGCTGGGTGACTAAATGCAAAATAGGCTACTGCCAAGATCGAGCAGTCTTGTTTTCTCGCAGTACCTTTTGAAGGTATTTTCAAATGAAGTATAGTCCGGGAATGTTGTCCCAACCACAACTGAAGTATCTGAATATTCAGACATTAAAAAATCTCTAGCTCTAAAAATTGAATTCGATGCAAAAAATGCTTCCTCCCAGTCCTCACAGAATGGCAGAATGAAATTATGAAAGGATGACACCTAAATCTCGCAAATAACCAAAAAATTTCGAGATCAGAAACCGTTCGGAGAAATAGTGTTCAACTTTATTTTCGCAAGCGTTCGGAGAAATAGTCACTTCGTTATAAGATTCCTCTGTTTTCTGCTACATATACTATGGCATGAGCAGGAATACCATGAGCTCAACAAATACTGGACTAGGGAGGCACCAGAATGAACACATAATAAATCCATTGATCAATTTGTCTGTCTTTCATTAGTCAGTTAATACCGGGTGCCCATTTGCACGATCGGTTCGGGTCCTATCGCCCGACTTGTCGACTTAAAAACAAACGCGCGTGGGTTTTCACGCAACGAGTTGGGCGATCTGTAGGTGATTGGAGCACCGATCCTCCAATAGGCGCTCTGTAAAACAGACACCACATTTGCTGTAAACAACCAACTTAAGAAAGCAATTGACTCATGCCCATGTTCATAAAAAAGGGTTTAGAAAAAAAAAAAATTATTAACTTCTTTAATGATCTATATTACACTGGTGTGAATCACTTCTTTGTTGTTTTTACCGTATGTTGTTTTACTCATTTTTTGTTGCAATTTAATTCCAATTCACTAATATTTTTGTTTTCATTTTTTTTTTACAGATGAGGCTACAGGATTGTTATCAAAACTGAAGTCTACTGAACCTTTAAGACAGCAGGAAAAAATCATTTCACAGTTGATCAAGCTTGTTATTGAGATTAGTAAGTGCTTTTTTTCCTTTTGTTTTGAAATGCTTGGTTCATCTTTTTATCCAAAACGCAACGCTGTGTGTTTTACCCAATTTTGAGTGTCCCTTTTAAATTATTTTGTATATATAACCCCTCTCTCAGACCTGATGTGTTTTGGTTTGTATAAAATGGATGCTTTAACTTCCTTCTTCCTTCTTCCTTAGTGGGAAGATAGGGTAAAAGAGCATTGAGATCAGCACTCCTAGACAAAAGGAACATCTGAAGTTCTAGTGGGGAACAAACCTAGTCATTTTTTCCACTGTGTTATCACTTATGCTATTGTCTCATTTGCTTTTCTAGTTTAGAATATTGAGCTAGAAAGAGTGAGTATTTTGTTTCCCATTTTATCAGTACAGTCAAACCTGCTCTAATGGCCTCCTGTTCTAGACGATCACCTGTACAAATGGCCATTCCCCCCCCCCCTCCCCCTTATGTGCTTTTTTCTATTTTATTTTTTTTAAACATTGTTCAAAAGTATAACAGAAGATAACCACTTTTCTCTGTGACAATGGATGATGTTCATTATGGACAGATTCAACTGTGTATTGTTTTATATAGTATGCTTAAATTTGTGAAAAAATTTTAACTATTTTATTACATGTTATATTCACTTTGACCCTTGTCAGTCATTCTACCAAGGCTTCCAGTCAGGAATGTTTAAGGCTGATTTTTTAAAAAGAATGTTCTTTGTTTTGAAAAAATGTTTTTTTTGCCCATTTTTCAAAAATAGATGAAGACGATGACGATACTGATGAATGTGCAGTACAGGAGGCGATTATGCAAAGTGAGGCAATGGACCTTCTACTGACACACCTCCAGGATGATCTGTCTCAGGAAAAGGAATCTCTTCTTGCAGCATGTTGTCAGCTTGTTGCAGAACTTGCTAAAACAGGTACAGCTTGATAGCTATTCTTCACGTAGCATGATGTGTAAAAGTGAAAGCGACGTTGATATTTAAGATAAAGGCAGTTTAAGATTTATTATATAGAGGTGCCGGGTTTTTTGTTTTAATCCAGATATCTTGTACCTTAAAATAATACCTTTATCAAGCAAACAGGTGAGACTGATTATGCTGTTGGTGCTGTCTTACAAAATCGTGGTTGCAGTACTTCTATTTATGAGATATAGTGAGTCGAGAAGTATAATATTATGTAATTTGGGTCTCTGTTAATCTGAGAAACATTTTGAAACAGCTGACATCTGAGACTTCATATTGTCTTTCCTCTGTCCATTGTATTAAACAGTTTGTGGAATGCTGACTGGAAATGCATAATTGCTTTTTTATCCTAATATGATGTTCATTTTTCTTCCTTTTTTTTTTTCAGAAACTCTGCGAGAACCACTTGTAAATAGAGGGTTTATGCCTCAACTTTTACGACATCTGCCTAGCACAAACATTGCCTTAGCTACACAGTCCTGCCGTGCTTTAGGAAATATATGCTATGACAATGGTAAGACGTGTTAAATAATAGCCATTGAGATTTAGTATTAATTCTAGCAATACAGTTGTCTCCACTTAAAATTCCAGTGCTTGGGTGCAAGAAAAATGGGGGATCTTAGGTGAACGAGATTTTAATGGATTCATCATGGGGAGAATCGCAGTGAATCACGGTCAGGTCAACAACCGGTAAAGTGATCCTCCCTTACTATGAAATGTAGTGAAGTGAACCCTGGGTGGGTTTATGACTTATGACAAGCAAAAAATGGTTAAGTTAGATGACTAATCACGATGGTATGAGGAGTTCCATTTGCACTTATCCAGTCGTCGGTCTCAACACAGATCTAAGTTGATCCCATTGCTCCACCCCTGTCCAAAATGTATTACTTTCTATCGCTGAGCAAGTTCCAAGCTTACATTGTGGTGCACCATTGTGTTTTGAGCGCATCTATTAAAATCTAGCCTGTCTAGCAAATTTGGACGTGGAAGACAACTGCAATGGTCTGGGAATCAAAGCACCGAGTTCACAATTTAGTGTTATCCAGTCTGATGTAGCTTTGTAGGTCCTACCCACCAAATATGTGAAGAAAGTTCGGGCAATAGCCTGAAATGCAAGGATGATGTTTGTGGAAAACAAACGCTTTAACAAGTTCACACCTCTGCATGAACTCGTCTGGGGCAAGCACTGTACTCGCTCATGGAGATTTGCAACAGAGATGTGATGCTATGACACAGTAATCTGACCTGAATTATTGTTTGCTTGTTTAATCTACTGTGCTCGTTGGAGGTTTTGTTCTGAAAATTATGATCTTAAATGCTGAATCATAGCTGAATGCAGTTCTTCAAAGCAGGATCTTATTGATGACTTTTGTGTAGTAAAAATTCTGTTTCTTTAAACAGCTGAATCTCAAGCGAACTAGATCATAAATGGTGCGATCTTAGACGGTGGGATGTTTGATGGAGACTAGACTGTATCACTGTTCACATCACTGTGCTCTCTCACTTTAAATTTTTTAGATACATTTAAGTTGCTTTCTTCTGCTACATGTGGGAGGAAGGGCTGAACCCAAAGAAAATTGAACAGAAGTGTAGAAAGAGCCAACATAAAGTAAACTTCAGCAAATTGTCAGTATCGTTCATGTAGGAATTATAATACACGCCTTACAGCTGACAGTTTTCTTTTGTACTGAAACATAGTGAATCGCAATGGTGTTTAAGGGAGATTACATTGAAATAAATGACGAATAAATTGAATACAAGTGTAAATTCAGACAACTTGCACGATGATGTGATCCTGACAGAGTATTTTGTCTCTGGCTGAGGACCTTTATGTTCTTATCGTAGAGTCCAGGGGTCGTGTGACTGCTCATTTGACTCTCCTAACTATCTAAGTTTAGTGCTGAAAAGATTACTCAAAGGTAATTTTAAGAAGTTAAGATAGTTTAAGTGTCGACTGTTCCTTTCCGTGTTTACTGATAGTTGAAAAGGGTGGTTATTATTAAAATGGAGTTAATAATTCAGGTGAAAGTAAAACAATAGGTTAATTTCTGGCTAAAGGCAATAATGGCAGAGTGACATTTGTTTCAATAAATCTCTTTCACTTTAATTTCATCTTGTCTTGCACTTTTGCTGTAATCAGTTCCTTCAGTTTCAGTAGTGGATTCAAGTTTTTGTAGGTTAAGCGAGGACAAAATAGCTGATGCCAAAGGCGAGCCATTAAAAACCTATGTCAAACTTTTGATACCAATGTTGAGCTTTTAATACTTTGGAAGGATGCTCAATTTTTAAGCAGGTGACTAAGATTAAAGGAAGTTTTTGTTTTGTGAGGGGGGTTGGGGGTTCTATTTGTCTCGAGAATTATTATTTTTATTTTTTTGGGTATTTCTGAAAATAATGTGGTAGGTGCTTCATTTCTGTGAATTTTTCGCCTTCTTACAAACTGATGATAGAAGGGTCAGTTAGGGGTGGTGACTTGAAGAGACAAGATTTATTATATTCTTTTTAGAGTTTTACCCTGCCCAGTTCGATGGTTATCTTCTGTTTCTAAATGCTGAAAAATTTATCCATTTTTTTTTTTCAGATTTAGGTCGTTCAGCTGTGGATAAAGAAAATGGGATTCCTACAATACTCAACATGTTATCGAAACAGATAGAGAACTCCGAGGAAGGAGCGGCCCGTTTACGCATCATAGTCTGTGGGTTTTTGCTGAACCTCACTAACAACTGTGGTAAGTTTGTCAACCGCTTTATCATCATCATCATCATCATCATCATCATCATCATCATCATCATCATCATCATCATCTATTTCCAAATTATTTCCCAGTTTCCAGTTTTATTTTTATTTTTTTCTTGAAGCATAATAACTACAACCTTATTGACACATTTTCTATGTGACATACAAATAGGATACGTGACCAAAAAAAAAACAACAAAAAACTAACAAAAACTGTGGTATGTGTACCTTGTTTCTTGGGATTTTTTGTGTGTGTAATATAGGAGGATTTCAGGGTTATTGACTTTCCTTCCACTTCCATTGAACTGTATTTTCTTGCTTGGTTTGGGCTCAACAGGGTGACATTGATAGTCTAGTGGTTATAATAGGCTACCAGAACCGTAATTGTGAGATTGCGGGTTCGGAGTTCGAACCTCAGGTCTGTCCTTGGAAAAGGCATTTGACACGAATTTCCTATTTGGCTCAGTCCTTTCAGAGATGGACATTTAACATCGGAGGTCCAGCCTCATCAATAACATATTAGGGTTTTTAGGGGCATTAAAGTTAAACCCATACCATTACAATCACCAATTTGAGTATAATATCTACATGTACCTTGTGATTTGAATATTCACAATATTTCTATTGTAGAAAAAAGAACTTTGCATAATGCTTCAAATAGTAGTTACTGATTTTGTGCCCATGAGTTTTGAAGTCGCTTTTTTGATGCTGTGTTTGTTCGTATATTGTTGCCCTAAAAGCATAAAAGAGTACCACTTTTTAATGACAGTAGGAATATGTCAAGTTAGGTTTACAAAGGTACTATAGTTAAACCTGCTCTTATGGCCATCGTCCAAAACAATCCCTAATCCCTTGTACAAACTACCTCTCTCCCGCTTCCTCCCCCCGGTTTTCATTCTATATTATAACGACACTGTTCAAGATGTCCACCTGTCTAAGACAATCCCTTTTCTCCTCGACAATGGGTGGCTGTCTTGGATAATTTTGGTTGTAAATCAAAGTTCAGATCAAAAAGTTTACGGCAAGTATGGGAAATGTCATCAAAAAGTGTTCTGTTGATTTCTTTCTATTTCCTGCTTCGAATATAAGCTGCAAAATGTGAAGGGCGGCAGAACTTTAGCATGATATAACAAATAATCGTAATGGATCATATTCATGTGTAGCATCTAAGATTTCAATCACCTTCTTCAATTTGTAGTATAAATAAAAACTGGAACCGCTTGAAAGAAGGTGTGACAAAGTACACGCTTTTTATCAGAGTCCAGAATGTTTTAGACACTGCTACATGACGATTTTGAAGGTTCTTAAGTCAGTAAATCACTCCCTCCCCAAATCCCCCCCCCCCCCCCCACTTCCCCATTTTCCTCAGTCTCCCTCCCCACCCCCCACTTGTAGAGATTTTATGTGTCTGTATTTAAGTCTCGCCTTTACTACCCTGTTGCCATTTCATTTGTGTCACCTCACCTCGTGCAGAGATGCAGGGAGAGGGAGGGTGCAGAAGGAGAGAGAGACACAGAGGCAGGGAGAGTTTTGAGGGAGGGAGAGAGAGAAAGAGGGAGGGGGTGGGGGTTCAGAGCAAAAGAGAGAGGTGGGGGTCAGAGAAAATTAGGGGGAGACAGACGCAGAGACAGACAGACAGACAGACAGAGATTGAGAAAGAGAGAGAGAGAAAGTGGGCGAGACATAAGCAGTGCGTCCCCTGTGTGTGTGGGTGTGGGCTGAATCAGGAAGGAGAATCATCCTCTATGATTGCTGTACCCGTCTGTGTTTCCCTTGGCACCGAGTCAAGATTCTGCGGCGTCCGTCCTCTGTACGGATGATGGCTGATGTATCGAGGAGATTTGCAGCTCAGAGATTTGCATCTGGGTCCGTGAAGGCTTACGTATCGTGCAGGGGCGGTCGGGCTCCTTTTGGCGGGGACATGCCAACCCTTTCGCGATTGCGATTGAGACGTGTCTCTTTTTTTAGAATGTCAGAGATGTTTCTTGTTAGTTGTTTTTGTTTTGTTTTACTTTTTTGTTTGTTTGTGTTTTGGATGGGGTTTGTTTAGGGGCAGGTTTGTTTGTTTTTGGTTGTTGTTGGGGGTTTTTTTTGGGGGGGGGGGTAAGTGATTTTTTTTTTTGGGGGGGGGGTTGTTTTTATTATAATTTTTGTTGTTTTTTAGTTATCCATTTACATCTTTACTGTTCCTCTTCAGTTCACTCTCTTATCCCTTTTTCTTTTTAAATGTAGGTGTTTTACGCCCCCGTCGACACAGTTTAGATCATTTAGGACGTGGGCTTTCGAGCCTGCCTGTGAGAGCCAGCCCGGGCTGAGAGGGATGAAAAAACCCAGAAGAATGACTCGTGATGCTCGATAAAAATTGTCTCCCATTTTGGGAATCGAACTCTGGTCTCCTGCTTGCAACAGCGAAGCGCCTAACTGCTACACTGTTGTCTCTTTTATTTATTTTTAAAAAAAATTTATTTATTTATTAATTTATTTATTCATTTTCTGTTTATTTATTTTCATGTAAGAATGAAAGGTGCTCACAGTGACCGTTAAGTTTTTTATGTGGTACTTTTTCTTCTCTTACCTTCGGTAGAACTGAAGCCATAACTGACCGCTGAATAGTCATCTCACTATTCTCACAGTGCAGTTGATTTTACTTATTACATAGCCGTTTTTATCTTCATAGACTGACACAGAATCATCCCTTGCCTGCTCACAGTGACCGTTGCGTCATTGATGTGGTTGAAATGTTACTTCAGTTAGTTTGGGAGATTAAGCAGGATGAGTTTGGTGTGATGGAAGATCGGAAAAGTTTAATCTATTTTAGGTGGAAATACCCTTGCGAGGACTGTCAACCCCCCCTCTCCCTTTTTTTTTTTTTTTAGTTTTGGGTTGTTTGGTTGTTTGTTGTTGTTGTTGTTGTTGTTGTTGTTTTTTGGAAGGGGGGGGGGGTGATCTTCTACCAAGCGCCCAATTCCACGAATCAGGAATCGGCAGATCAGACATAAAGATTAAATTTATGTTCTTGCGTTCAGGTTCCACTTATTTTTGACTGAGGGCCGGAATTAGATATGTCTGCTCTTTATCAAATGTCAGCTTTCTCGTAGGCTCTCGGATGATGACGATCAGAACTCTCTTGAGTGACCAGTGGCTTTATTTATTGATGATGTTTGTGGTCTCGTCGCTGGTTTTGATTACAGGGCTCACGCACGACCTCACACGCTAGCGCCCGCTCGCGTGCTTACGTACGCATGTGCATGGACATTCACGAACATGCATGTTTGTATGCATATCTATATCTATATATATATAAACAAACACACTCACACTCACACACACACACACACACACACACACACACATACACACACAAACACTTACATGCGCTGCTTTGCACCCCAGTGAAAAAAGCCAGAGAAAAAGAGAGAGAGAGGGGGGGTGGAGTGAGAAGTCAAAAGCACTCTCACACACACATACATACACACACACACACACGTGCCCGCACGCGCACGAACGCACACACACACACACACACACACACATACACACACACACGCACGCACGCACACACTCACGTACACTTACACGCGCAGGCACACACACACACACACACACACACACACACACACACACACACACACACACACACACACACACACACACGCGCGCGCGCTCGCGCTCTCTCTCTCTCTCTCTCACACTCTCTCTCTCTCTCTCTCTCTCTCTCTCTCTCTCACTCTCTCTCTCTTTCTCACACACACAAACACACACACACACAAACACACACACACACACACACACACACACACACACACACACACACAAGAGTACACACAGAGGTAGATGTTGTGCATGTGTGTGTGTATGTTTTGTTTTTTTCGGGGAGGGGGGTCGATATAGTTTAGAAAGACAGACAGAGAAAGAGACAAGGAAAATATACTAGGTTTATGAATACGCTTTTGTTTCCTCGATATCTCTATTAGCTTTAGGACAATCGGCGTACTTTTGTGTGAATGGTGTCCTACGTTGGCACATGCACAAACATCATCAATTCTTGATCAGTTGGCAGCGGCATAATGTCTTGATATCGTTTCTATAAAAACTATGAACGTTATCTGCCCCCTTCTTCTCAACTGCGTTATTACGAACCGTTTCCACGGACAACCAGCTCTCAATCTTCTTTTGATCGGCGTTTGTGGTTTTGCGACTAGGCGATTCGCGCCATCATACGCAGGAGACCCAAGTTTGAATCCCAAGTTAGGAGACATTTTATTGAGTAACGTGTCTCGGTTTTTCTGCTGGCCCTGTCAGGCATCCTGTGGGGGTGTAAAAACTGAGGACTGGGTTAACGGATGGTTGGCGGATGCTCTGGTGTGGTTTGCTCCTTCTTTCCTATCAAACATTAGTCGTCATTATCTCTTCTCCTCCTTTTCTGTGTTTGTTACTCACTTGTAATACCGCTAATCTTCGGCACTTTTGTGACCTTATTGTGTTGCAAGTACCAAACATAGTGCCGTAAAACACTTATAACCAACGCATTTATCCGAGCAGCAGCAGGCCAAAGGCAATGTTCCGGCACATCTTAAACCATCGTTTACAAACCAGAAAGACGGATTTGCATAATATAATAAATATACTGTCAAATTATTTTCTGCCCTTTAAAATGTCAGATTGAGAAGGAAAAAAAACTGTTGAAAAATTTGTGTAATAAAAAAAGTTATGCGTCTTTTTTAAAGCATCCCAAAACAGGGCGTCTTCAAACGTTTTCGAATGGACAGAATACGCATCCTCTGTGAGTTAGGGTCTTCACTGTTGCACTGGAAAGACGCGAGTTCGATGCTAGCATGGGGAGCTATGCTGTATTGTGTTGGAAGTTGTATCTCCGTGATTCTACTTGGGTACAATGCTATTATTTTATACTTTATTGTCTCACTCCATTCGGGTCGAAGAAACTGAGCTCCTGAATGACGTCAAAGTAAGATGGTGTGTGTGTGTGTGTGT